ATTCACATCGTTTGAACAAGATGCGTGCAATATCTTGTTGCTCAAAAAATCTGCTTTAATTAGTGGTTTTTCGAGCACAGTCTTCTTTGTGTAAGGACTAACGAAAGCGCTGTTGTTAGATTCTCGCGATAAAGCACGCGTAGTGTTCCTTAGACGGTGCTAACATGCCATTGAAATGCATTAAAGCATTTGTTTCTTCGCATAAACTTTCATTTTTTTCAAATCATCAACGAATTGGCCAGAAAATCTCGATTCGGGACAAGACTAGCTGTTTGTTTTTGTTTCGAGATGAGTCAGAATTTTCTCTGTTTTTTTCAGTCATTTTTTTCTAATACAGGGAATGTATTCTGGAAGTGGGTGAGATATGGCTCTTGAAAGATGGTGGCTTGGACACTCAAATTTAATCATTTATTTATTTCAAATGGCAGGCGTTTTGATAGTTATTATTAGCCCTTTAGCTGACTTCGGACTTCACAGAGGGAAGGTTCATCAAAGTAGCAGAAAGTCGAGGGGTGGGGAACAGAAGAGTGATTTACAGATGTTAAAGAAGCAGACACAAAGGCAGAGAAAAGGTGAGGTGAGTACTGTGGAAGTGGTAGAATGACTTACAGTGGGGTGATGGTAGTCTGAAGTCAATCGCCGAATAATAGACTTTTTTGCCGAATGGGCATACGTTGCCCAGGGTGCACTACGTGGAGGTAAGTCTATCGCACACCCCAACTTTATTCATTTTTATGTGAACACTTGGTGTATTCGATTTGCTCCCATCTGGTCCGTGTGTTTACCTTATCCTTTATCTGGAGCCATCCATCCCAGTGGTTGACTCATATAATCATTTCCATCGGATAATATATACTTTTCTTTTAAATAATCTCCCCAAAAAATTAAGACAACTTTTGTGTTTTACCCTTTAATACACATTAAGAATCATTCATAGCTTCTAACTTATTTATAGAGGTTGGAAGTGCCTTATAAAATTGCCTTAACGTCTATTTTTGTATAAACGTGCACGTAATTAGTTAAGTTTTATAAATTTATAAAAACTGCATTAAATGATCTTGCTATTAAGCAGTTTAGCCAATTTTATCGTAACAGCGCTGAAATGACAAAAAATTGACTTGGTAAGGTTCATTAAGCAATGCTTACCTAATTTGTTAGAAAAAGGGATGTTTAATAGCTCTTTCTTCTAGGTGGCTTCGATGGCGAACAGAATTTAAGTTCTGTCGAATGTTTCCAGCGCTGTGAGACTTCATCCGTGCATAATCGACGACGGCATCATCACCTTCGTCTAACAGACGATGGAGACGACGATGGTCGTGTTTCTGTAGTAATGGTTGAGGAGGAAGAGGATGAAGACTTCACTTCAGAGGAACAACCACTACAAGTTCCATCCACCTCACAAACTCTTCCATCAGTCATCAAGGATCTTCGGCGAAACGAGAACCATCTCCCTTCCAACGTCTTACATCATCAACGTCGTCGACGTGGAAGGAGCAAGAATTTGCGTGGACGTCGGCCGTTACGGCACTGCAAGTCCAGGGATGATGAAGATTTGGAGGAGTGGTTAGAAGAAGGACCGAGGAGTCTTCTAGCTCCCCGATTGGCTGGTGGTGGAATGTCTTTTCATCAAACAGAATTGGTTAGCATCGTCGGTCAGAATGTACCGAATATTGGCCAGCCTTCTAGCAGCTCTCAGAGGGTCACCCATAGTGATGAAGGATCGATAGATTTACCGACAGTTACTACTGAGGTACTTTTCATTCTGAGTTTTTATGGGATTTCTTTTCGACTCAATCCCATTCGTGCAGCGAGAAACGGGATTAGAATAACTTGGTTTTGCTTACGAATAAAGAAAATGGGGAGCCTAGGTCTCGTATTGGAATTTTCTCTAGCAATTTGGGTAGCATTCATTTGGGAAGAATTAGGAATTAATTCTGTTTCCATTCAGCCTGAGAGGACAACAAAATTTTGTCTTAACGCACTTGTGGATAGACAGTCATTTTGTGTGGGGGGTAAGTAAAAGCGCATTTAGGATGACCGAATGGAGTGTTTTTTTACGTCTAGAATCTGGCTGTCTGGATGTTACAGTATACCAATCGATAAGTCCTAACGACAGGTTGTAGGAGGTGGTCTATTCAATTAGGCTGTTATCCGCCTTCTACCCATTTGAAGTTTTTCACCGGTCAATATCTGCGTTGCAAATCGTTTAAAGAATAACTTAACATTTGTTCCAATTGCAAATCGTTGTTAGATTATTATCACTCTCCACCTCCCACGAGGATCTGAGGACTAAAATAACGGAGAGATCAAGATTGGCAGACAGTGATGAGGGAATGTTTACTGGCAATATTTATTGCGTCTCTAATTAAAGTACCTACATTTGACATATAAGATTATGTTTTTTTGCAGGTAATGTTAGTGTTTGCCTTTATTGTTAGCATCAAGCCGCTAGAAAGTGGTCCCACTGTCGAGCAAAATGTATTCTACTTTTAACGCCAAATGTAGTTAAGATCAATTTTTGCCATTTTAACTTTTAATGGTAATACATAATCACCAAGAACGTGAATCACCATTCATTTTTATCTGAAGAAGGCGAGAGAGAAAGAGAGAAATGCCAAAGAAAGTACATAAATTGTGAAAAAAATGGTGAGGAAAGCACATCGCCTTAGCAACGAATGTCGTGGCTACGAATGTGCAAGTAGGGGAAAAAGGATCTAACCTAGTAGATTGTTCTCTTCACAAGGGATATATATGAAGCGTGTATTGAACCTCTAGAGATTTAAGCCGGGTGATAGTTAAAGGTGGTGTATATTTTACTGGCAGACCATCAGACACAGAAAGGCACTTGCCAGCACGTGGGTCAATTTGGGTTTGTATGGCTCAAATTTGGAGCTAATCTCCAAGATGTGCCTGTTGTAAAGAACTATCCTTCACTTACCGATGTTGAGAATACTGTGTTCCATCTCATTTAGTTGGCAATTCTCCAAAATACCTATTCTTTTTACAGTTTCTACCCTCTTAACACTCTATAATCTAGTCTTTTTGTGCTTTTTTTGAAATGCTTGTATCATCTATTTTATTTCGATTAAAATTAAAATATTTTAACTTGCTATGGGCTATAATGATACATTTAAGCTTCAATTGTCTTCGAGTAGATATCACGATTAGGCAGTTTAGTTTTTATCTGGTTCAGGTGACAATTTCGCCGTCAACCGCCCTCAGTATATTGACCCCCAAAATACACTTCTAAATATATATATGGGAAATTAGCTTTCTTATTGGCACTAACTTTTTTAACCCTCTTTTAAATAGGGTCTCGACTCCACCGAGAGTCTGATTGAATCTCTCACTTTCCAGTCAACGGCTGGTAGTGCCGGTGATTTGGGTCAAGATACTTCCTCGCCCGTTCCTCTTCCCTCTCCATCTCAACCCCTCCTTTCGCCACTTCCTCCTCCTACACCCCCACCTCATGCTGCTAGTTTGTCCACTTCAATGGATGCACCCCACGTGTCCGACGAGACTTTCGCCGATTGGCAATGGCTCCCCGCCACATCACTTATTGCCCATGAAGGAGGGGTCGGAGTTGGTGTTATACCCCTCTATTAATAACACCCCTCCCCCTCCTCTTGTTCTCATTTTAATCTGTATATCTCCCCTCCCCTCCCCCCCCCTCTTCCCTGAGTTCTAATCATTATTAAGTTCACTTTTCCCTCGTCTTCTTGTAAATTTGGATTCTCACATTTGTCATCTTCCTCAACGAACGGACCTTATGAAAACCTGATTCCTGACATGTGGATATTCGAGCACTCTCTACTTTCTGGCTTCAGTAATCAAGGTATCATCTTATATTGTGCAGTGTAAATCGTGCGAGATATTTCTTTTGCTTTTGTGCATTTTATTGTTGCTATAGATTTATCTTGTGTCTGCATTCATTAAGTGCTCTTACTATGAAAGATTTAAACTTATTAAATTCGTTAATTTTCCGTTTTTTGTCTTCTGTCTTTCTTTCATAAGTTAAAGCTAATGTTTATCCTTTCTTAAATCTATCTAGACTGTACTTACCTGATCACGTCTTAGCATGTTTTGTGAATTACAACCCAAAGGCGATACTTTTGCCACAAGGAGAAGTCAATCGTGCTTAGATAAGTTTTTTGTTAAGTGATGTAGTGGATTATGCCCTGCTATTTCAGAAACAAGCTAATCATAATAAATAGAAGTCAATAGCTCCGCTTTCGAAGGAGAAATAGAGGCCATTAGGATAACGCTAAGCCAATTACGTTGCCTGTATACAAAATTCAACAAAGCGGTGATGCTTTCGAACTCACAGTCAGCAATAAACTCAGTTGGAAGCAGAGAGCCACCCAAAACAGCTGAGATATACGAGTATAAAAAAACTCTATCAGCTGCTGAGAGAGAAAAACAAAACAGTGGTCCTACAATGGATTCCTGGTCACTGTGGCATTAAAGCCAATGAACTTGCTGACGCACTTGCTAAGAAGAGGACAACGATATTGCAAGGCATAGACCGGCCGATGTCTTTCCACACAATGAAGGCCTTAATCAGGAGAGAATTCCAGACCTCAAGGTGCAACGAACTTAAAGCTCGAACAAATTAGAAACAGTGGACAGTGGCACTCTCCGACATATCCGACTGGCTAAGAATCGAAGCCGTTGCTGAGTTTAGACTACGTACCGGACAAGATTGCTTGGCAAAACACCTTCACAGATTGGGAATATACACTCAACCCACATGCCCCCTATTCAACCAACAGGAGGAAATGGAGAAGACCCACCTGATTCGGTGTCCAGCTCTAAAGACAACGACGGAAACCCAGAGATACTGGGAAGCAAGAAGACAGCTAATGAACTGCTATATATGTACCCCCCACCCATGGGGGAAGCTGAAGTCAAAGTTTAAGGGCTAATGATAAATATCAT